AAAAAAAAAAGAAAAAAAAATTAGTTCCGTTCGATGACTGCGGTCACTGAATAGAACAAGTTTTTTTCTTCTTCCTTTATACACCGACAGAAAGAAAAGAAAAAAGAAAAAGAAAACGTGAACTAGCAACTTGTTGTCAAGTATAAAGCGTAAGTGCATACAAGGACAGAGAAATTATACAATCATATTTTGTACATTAACAAGTGATGTGGAAGACGATACTGTATATTTCAACGATATACGCATGAATTTGTCTTCATTTAAAAAAAAAAAAAAATCATATATCAATAATGCATAAAACAAAAACAGTACATTATTGCTGTTTATTATTAATAAAAAAAAGTAATTAAAATGTTAAATTTGGTCAAATAAATAACGCTGATTTTGACTTATATCAGATTTTTAGTTTTCATGTCAATTCAATTCGACTTTTTGACTCTTCATTTATAGTTTTTATCAATTTTGTATCAAAATTTCAAACCGTCTGAAAATATCATCTATTCTGATCATATGTTAAATTATAAAGGACGTCTTTAAGTTCTGATCCCCGTACAATATTATTTTTTCGACTAAAACAATTGATATTTGTGATGTATATACTATCAGGCTAATTCTAATTTTTACTGAGATTTAAGCTTTCTGTTTATGAATACAATTAGTTTATATGCATTACAGAAATAACTTGAAATTTTCGTAGAGGATTGTGTACAATGTGAGTGGATACGTTACCTTTTTTTTGAAAATCTCTTATTGATGTTATATCCGCCCAGGTGAAAAAATCAGACATCAGAATATACAGACTTTCTATAAGACCGCAGCAAAAATCATACGAGATTTACCAACAAACTAACGTAGAGTAATACCTAATGGAAATCTTATCTGTTCTTTTCTGATCATACATGATCTAGTATTTTTTTTCTGCTTTTCACGGCATTCATGAAAAATCTGGTTCCGTCGTAATAGAATGTAGAAAAGAGGTAGAGTTCCTCTAGACAAAATGCTGTTCTATATTATCGAGTTCGCGAGACAACTTTGGACTTTGAAAAATACTATTTCATATGAACCATTTAGTTAGCAGGGTGATTCATTGATGAGATTTCAACATAATTTAGAAAAATTCTATCTGGAAACTGACTTTAAGAAGAACACGCTCCGCATTAATTTTTTAAGATCTTACATTGTACAAATACCTTAAAACACATAGATTTTTATATTATAAACGACAAAGGCACGAGCCAAATTCAATAAATAACAGCAAAGAAAACTTCAACAACAACAGTTGGTGGACCATATATGAATGTAGAAAAAAATATTTTAGTTTCTATATTTATTATTCATATAGATGAAGACATGAAAAATCTATTTTTCAAGTAGTTGGTCACCAAAATCGTACAAGTTTTTAGCCAAAGAAACAGGGTTTGAATGAAAAAAGCGTATAATTTTTGAAAGATCTGATGGTAGCCTGTTTTCCTACTTATTTTAAAGTCGATGTAACTTTTTGTTTTATTTTTTATAACTATTTCAACTGACTCGGTAGGGCCCCATAAACGATTTGAAATTTATTAAACATCTAAAAAAATGGAAGATCAAAAACACGCACTGTGTCATCGTTGAACAATCTCTGTTAGATATGAAAGATAATGATGGAGCGTAGCTCAACCATTCTTTCAATGATTCTCCCATTGTTGCTATATTAATTCAGTGTGTACTAAATTGATTTAAAATTTATTCATTTTTATTACTATGGGAGAAATCTCTTTACTATTTTTTGACAAAAAACTTGTTTTTATTAATCTTTATTAAAGAACGACAGCAGTCAAAACCAGACGAACTTTTGGTTAGATTTTGCAATGACAAAAAAAAAGAGAAAGATTGAAAAAAAAATCTTTCTCTTATTTAATTTTATTATGAAATATATCTACGCAATAGAAATTTGTCTCAGAATACACAAATATAAATATTCTGATTCATTACTTGACCATAATTGGGTGATGAAGAACGAGTTAGAAGCAAAGAAATGTCTTTTCTGACTTGAAACTAAAGTTGATTCAACTAATATTAGTTGAATAAAATAAGTAACTATACCTGATTTTACTTTAAAATCTCTATTAAGAAACATTTTTCTTTTTTCTTATTCATATTTTGAGAAATGACAAAAGCATAAGGTTATCAAATGAAGAAATGTGTTTTTTTGACAAAATGAATAAATTCAATTAATTTTTATTTAATTAATAAAAGTAGACAAATCAACGACACAACATCTATTGTTAGCCAGTTATTTTTATAAAGTTTATTATTAATTTAAGCCATTATTTCATGCTTAACTTTATTATTCATCGCATGTTTAAGTCTTCTACTAATAAAGCGGCGTTTAACTGTTCCAATGAAAGTGATTATAAAGCCAACATATTCCATACTAATCAGCAAAGATGCTGCTTGATATAAATCTCCATAACAATACGTACTTGTATTTGTTGGATCATTAGATTGATAACGATTTTTATTACGAAACACCCAAATATTGCCAGCAATAAACCATGAAAAAAACCATACGGCAAAAAGAGACTGAAATACAAGATTTATAAGCATAAGTCGACGTGCTAGACTTTTTCTATTCATCTTTTTATAAATTAATCTAGCGTCAGCAATCGCAAGAATCGTCAAGAAGATCCATGCGAATTTTGTAGCGCCATGAGCAACAAGAAATGTATTAATCGCAGGTTCCATTGGACATTGATTTGAATAATTTATACCACAAGAAAGTTCTGAGATTGAAAAACCACATGCTACTATTATTTGAACGATTACCATCTTTGATGTGTAGTATTTCATCGTTTTATCCAGACGTTCTTCGAATTTTAAACGAATCCACAGATTAACTGGATTTTCATTAGCTATATTTGAAGCATCCTGTGTTGCAAACATTGAAGCCATTTTAATTATGAATGTATTTGATTAAACAACGTAGAAATATGTATGTGACAAATGTAAATGATAGAAAAAGAGAAAGAAATATTCTCACTTTTCTGTGAATAATCTACATAGTGAGCTCAAAGTCGGTTTTAGAATAGAAATCAACGTTATTATCAATATAAAACTTTTAAGTTTTCGAAAGAGGCTGATTTGAATCGGTCTCGATTATTCACCTAAATCTATATCCATACCCTTTCCTTATGAATAGTGTTGAATTAAGTTAAAGTTTTGTCAATAAATTTCGTAAAAACTTTTGTGAATCTACGACTATAATACCGAAGAAACAGATATCCTTCGAAAAATCGATAGTCTTCGAAATTGTCATCATAATCAAATGTACGACATAAATTATTCTAATATCAGAGATTTGAATAATGAATAAGCATTTGAATGATGCTTTTCATAAACCTAAAATAAATATTCATTTGAAAAATATTGTAATGAATTTTATTATCAAATAAAGTTAATGTAAATGCTTCAAAAAATTCTCCTGCGTTCGATAATTGATTTGAATCAAATTTAAACAAAACGAGAATTCACCATTCATTTGAAAGCACAGTATTCGTCTAATTTGTATATGAACATTTTCGTCTCGTCAGCGAATATTTTTTTTTGATAAATCATATATAAATCACAAACAATCATTACTTCTGATTTAAAATACAATGTCGATTATAATGAAATTTGAATATTTACCAAATGAAATATTAATGAAATGTTTTCAATATCTGAATGCAACAGATGTTATTTATTCATTTAATCAATTAAATTATCGTTTTTCAAAGCTTATTCGAAATAGTCCATTACATCTTTCATGTTCTCAATATCAACAATCTTTATTTGATATTTATAAACATATGTTCATTAAATCATTAACTATTCTCAATTGTAAATTCGACGATTTATTTGAATTATTTCAAAATTTATCAATGATAAAATATTTTAAAATCGAACACCTATATAATAACTTTATGACAGTTGATCAATTAAATTTACTTGATATTACTGTAGAAAAATTTATTATCAATGATTCTCAAATAAAAAGATTTGAAATTATTGAATTCTTATTAAATCAAATGACAAAATTACAAGTTTTTTCCATATCATCATCTCAAATTCATATAATAGATGCAATTCGTTGGCAAAATTTGATCACACATTCACTTCATCATTTACATACATTTAAATTTTGTTTCGATTCTCATATTGCTGATAAACTTAAAATGAATGATAAATTAACAAAATGTCGACAATTTCAAACAACATTTTGGCAACAAAATCAATGGTTTATCAACTATGAAATTGATGAATTTAGATTATTAATTTTTACAACACCATATATTCGTAAAGAATAAAATTATTTCCAGTCACACAAGAATTTATTTATTTTAATTATAATGGTGAAAATATTTTCGATAATGTTACACATTTAAGTTTATACAAAAATTCAAGTAAAACTAAATTCCATGATTTTCGAAATATTTTCTCATTAACATTAAAAAGTTCATATGATCATTTTTCAAATAATTATAATTTAACAAAAACTCTCAATGAAATTATGAATACATCGAATGTGAAACATTTAACAATTACTAAAACTAATGAAATATTAATAGAAACAATAATAAATCAACTACCAAATATAGATTCATTAACAATTCAAAAATCTATTTTATTATCATTATTAAATAATTGTAAATTATATGAATTATTGAAAACAAAGATTATAAAATTAGATATATCTATTAGTGATTTTATGGATGAAGACAGATTCTATTCGTTATATGAAAATTCTTCATCAAAACATAAACTATCTGAATTTGATATAGAAAATCTTGATGAACTATTGTTTATATTAAAGAGTTATCCAAATTTATCAATGATTAACTTAGGATACATTGGCTATAAAATATATTTATGGATTCAATTAAATTCATTAAGTTTACATATTAATATTGATTATAAATTATTGAACGATCCAAATCGCTTGACAAAACCAAAATCATGTGAATTGGATCTTATTGTAGATTTGATTTATTAAGTTTTTGTTATTCTTAATAATAAAAATAGAAATTCATATTTTGTTGTTTATTATATAATCAATCTCTACTACAGTTGAAAAAAGGAAAAAGGAATAAAATATAAGATAGTTTTGTATTCATGAACAAGAAAGTTTATTTCAAATTGCTGCGCTAGAAAAAGTGTTGAAACTCTGTTCTTGCCAATTCTTAAGTAAATGGAATGCATTGGAATGGATCATTATTTGAAATCGAACTTACGATTCAGCTCTATTATTTTCATATAACTATATTTTATTTCATATAATTTGATATACCATTGAAAAACAGTGTAGTAGCACTACCTTTTTCATTCAAATGATTATGTCGATTTGATCATAAATCTATTGTTGTGAAACTAATCCGTTATTGATTTTATCTTTTATTTATCTTTCATCAGAAACATAATTTTGTAATTTATTTATATATTTATCAGAAAAATCACAGAAAAAAAGATTGATTCAATATTATATAAAATTTTCGCTTTCAAGTAAAATAAATTTGCATTATATTTATCGAAAACTTCGTTGGATAACCAAATATTTCATTTAATCCATTTAAAATTAAAATAAATATTTGAACTTGATGCATATAATTTAATCCATGAATGTATTCTGTGGCTAATGTATCCGAAATTCACTATCGATAATTTCGGACAACTTTTCAAGAAGCATAATAATACGTCAAGATCTATTAAATCACATTCCAATTTTTCGATATTTGAAAATATCATATGAATTGAATCTGAGAAACCATGTTCCATATCGTTGTCAATAACAATACAACCATCAGAAATGTTTAAATTAATAATTTTTTCATCAAAAAATTTCCATAATTCAGGATTAGGATTATTTAATAATGATAATAATATAGATTTTTGAATTGTTAATGAATCTATATTTGGAAGTTGATTTATTATTGTTTCTATTAATATTTCATTCGTTTGGGTGGGGTGGGTGTGGGTGGGTAAGACATAAAACACTCACCGACATAGCGACACCCACACCCTGAAGATTACAATAAAGATAAGGATAGTTTAAATATTAAATATTAATTTTTTAAAAGGCTTGAATGTTAATTAATTTTATTTATTTTTCCTCTTGTTATGGTTCTTCTGGAGTATGATGTGTGTAACAGAAATTGATGAGTTTGTCGAAGTATGTTGTGGATTTGTTGTAGAAGTTTAACATGCGCGTACTAGGTCGGTTTATTGGCATCGCTTGTAAAATTGCTTTTTCTCGATAGTGATGACGTGTTGTATTTATTATATCTTTATGCATTAAATAACATTGAATTAATTCTTGTTCATATCGTTCAATATTACTTAGTCGTTTGGGTTAAAGTTTTTCTATATTTTTCTTCTAATGTTGGAAGTTGAAAGACTTCGTGCAGATCGCTTGTTGAGCAATGAAATAGATGATATATAATTCGAAGACATCTTCCATAAAAAACATTGATTTTATCTCTTTGAGTTTTTGATAAAAGACAATAAATTGAAGACATTGCATGTACATGAGGCCAAACATATGTATTAAAAAAACTTTGTTTAAGTTTGAAGAAAGATGGAAATCGATTATGTATATATTTTAAAATTGTATATGTTTGCCGGCATTTTTGGAAATGGTCAACTACATATTTTGTTTTATTTGTGCATTCAACAGCGTTATTTAACAAAACTGATTGAATAAGGACTTTTTACATTGTTGGAAATTGAGATTAAGGGAATGTTTCGAATGAGCTTTGATAAACGATGATTCAATTCATCAAATGAATAAAATAAATCGGATCCATTAAGAAATTGAAAACATTGTATTAATTTTCCGTTTGGCATTAATTCAAAATTCATGTTGACTAATATTTTAATGAATGTGGATTATAAGATTTGTTTACTTTTCTACACAAGTTCTATATACATATAAGGTCTTTGTTATACTTTAAATGATTCATACTATATATCCTATGGGTAAAAGAAGGAATGGAAAAGAATTGGTTGAATCCGTTTTTTTAAATCTATACACATACACAAGTAATTCAATAGATTCATTTAGTTTATACTACTGAAATTATCTAATGAAAAACAATAGAGTATATAAAGACTGATTAATTATGTAATTAGATATGCTGGAAAAGTATCTATACATTTTGAAACATAGTTTTATGAACAATTTCAACCGATATAATACATAACCGAACGAATTTTAAAGAAATTTTTATCCGTTCGATTGGAAAAAAAATAGGGAATTATCTTTATAAATAATGTATTTTATCATTTTGAAAATTTTTTAATGAAATTTCAGAATGTTCACATTATAATTCAAAATAAATAATTATTTTTCTTAATTTTTCCGAAATTTATCTGATTTTATTGATTTATTTCTTTTAGGATAAATATTTCATAGAAATTATTTTTCTCATATTGATTGTTTCTAGTAATCGAAGTGAAAAAAAAAACTTGTTTCACTTCAAGAAGCTTTACAATCAATTTAATCACAAATAGAAAAACTGCTGTTTTTTATTAAAATAGCTAAAAAAATATTGCCATTTTCTATCTAAACAAGATCAGTTTTGATTTATATTTACCCAGATCAAACAAGGGCGATCGTAAACGATCGTATACGGAAAAATACGATCTTTTACGACCGTTTTTCTTCGTAACCGATCATACTTCTCCGCATACGGTACGGAGACATACGATCGTAATACGGCCACAGGTAATACGGCAAAAAACGGTGAAATACGGTCGTACATGGTCGTATTTTTTCCGGATACGGTCGTATTCAATCGTTTACAGAGTTCGTAATAATCGACCTGGGTATACAATAGAATGGGAAGAAATGAATTTATATCAAATTTTAAATAAAGCTTTCAGAAATATAAACTTAAATCATTTGATTCAACTGTAGGAAGCTTATCAACTGTTCGACAAATTGCTTGACACGATGTTTGAAATAATATTGAAAAGAATTTCTTCAAAAATCAAAAACTAACATCGTGAAATATTAATTCTTCTTCATCATTAATTAATATTATCAGAGATTCTTGAAAATAAAAGAAAAAAGAAAATTTAAGATTATGATGATCAATGACATGAAGTTGAAGTTATTTGGAAAAATAGAAACTAGAAATTTTCGTATTTAATGTCATGTTTTAGAACATTCACTAATCGACGTTCTTGCCCTTTTCTTTCCAGGTTCTTGTTTTTCTTGCTTTTCAAGCAAGATTCTTTTTCTATTCCTTACATGCAAGATTCTTGCCTGAAAATTCCTTACATACAAGATTCTTGTCTGAAAAAACTGATCTTGCCTTTCTTGTGAGATTCGTGTAGACCGAATCTTGTCTGATGAGTCAAGAAATTCTCCTCCAGACAAGATTCTTGTTCTCTTACTTTCTTGCCTGATTCTTGTTTTCCTTGAATTCTTGCCCGATTCTTATCTTTCTTACTTTCTTGCCTGATTCTTATCCTTCTTGATTTTCTTGCCTGTTTCTGATTTCTTAGGCTTCTTGCCTGATTCTGGTTATATCAAAAAAGCCTTTTCTAGGTTATTACTATTATTTTGATTTTATTTCATTATAAGCTTTTCACACCATGTACAAAAAAATATGAAAGAACAAAAAAATACTTTAAATTTTACATATTTATGAAACATTTCCGATTTTTAACACAAAAAAAAACAATATAAAAAAAGAACTTATTTTATTTATTTTTTTAAATTTTACCTATACCAAGAGTATTATCTAACAATAATTTTTTAAATGAATTGATGTTCTCTTCAACCATTGTATGTGGTACTTTTACCGATAGTGGAAAAATCTAGAAAAAAAATCTAGAGATACGAGTTTGAAAAATATAGAAATGTGTTCAGTAAAGGTTATTTTCATGAAACAATGAGAAAATAGATATAATATATTCCATTGTTTTCTTTATATGAAATAAACTTTTACTATGCATCCAGTTAAAATAATAACTTACTAGATGTCGTCCAAACTAAATAAACGTTTTAGGAAAATAAAATAGTATAAGTGAGTGTGTACTATACTTATTCAGTCAGTAATGATTATGAATAAATAACGGTCAGCCAATGCTTTTATATATGTGATAAACAAAGACCATATCACGTGCTGTTCATCTTGGAAAGCTGGCAAGAATATTTTTGCTTTTCTATTACAAGAATCTTGTCTGAATAGTAAGAAATTTAAAATATCTTGTGTTTCTTTCCAGTTTCTTTTTATCATGAACTTCAGTCAAGATTCTTTTGAAAGAGAAGAAAAAGATTCTTGTCTGAATATTAACATATCTTGAATATCTTATAATTCTTGCCTGATTCTTTTATTTCTGATTGTTCAGACAAGATTCTTGTCTACTGGAAATTCTTGTGAGATTCTTTTTACTTTCCTGTCGAAAAGAATCTTGCCTGAACACAAGAATCTTGTCAGAAAATCAAGAAAAGCAAGAACCTGGAAAGAAGAGGACAAGAACGTCGACTAGTGTTCAAAATGATTATTTAATGTTCATTTAGTGAAAATTAGTGATAAAGAAGATCAAAAACAAGTTTTGGCATTTGCAATCAATAACTTTTATATAACAATTCAAAGACAGACGAAGAAGTAAAAGTTTCATTAACAATAAATTTTATTTATTTATTTATTTTTTATTTCAAATTCCAAAGTGAAAATTCTGTTGAAAAATTTTCTGAAAGAAAAGAAGAGTATTTATTTTCAAGAGGAATCAAAAATAAATGAAATTTTATTGATTTTATAAAATTTTCTCAGTCATTATTGTGATCTTGTTGAATAGAAATCTGATCATAATCTGATATTATTTAGAATGGTTCATTCGATAGTTATTCGTGATTACTTATATTTGACAGAGATATTACTATACCAATGATTTTGTATGATTTCACTCAATCACATATATAGTTTTCTGATTATTTTCAATACAGATCAGAAAACTGACTCCTGTCGAATTTATGCTATTCGATTGTTAAGAATCCAATTAATGAAATATCAGATATGATCACATTCCCAATAAATGACTGTTGAGGGTGTGGGTGTGGGTTTATGCACAGCAAGAGTAGACTCCCATACCCACACTAAATTGATTTAAAATTTACTCATATTATTAATATACCATAGTTTACATGGCAGATATTACCGTTTTATTAGTATGGAGGAAATCTCTACTATTTTCTGAAAAATAACTTGTTTTTATTAATTTGTATTAAAGAACGACAGCAGTCAAAACCAGATGAACTTTTGATTAGATTTTGTAATGACAAAAAAAAGAGAAAAATTATAAAAGAAATGTTTCTTTTATTTATTTTTATTATGAAATATATCTTCGCAATAGAAATTTGTCTCAGGATACACAAATATAAATGTTCGGATTCATTGCTTGACGAGAATTGTGTGATGAAGAATGGTTTAGAAGCAAAGAAATTTCTTTTCTGACTTGAAATTAAAGTTGATATCACAATGCTAAATTTAGATTTGATTCAACTAATATTAGTTGAATAAAATAAGTAAATATACTTGATTTTACTTTAAAATCTCTATTAAGAAACATTCTTCATTTTTTCTTATTCATATTTTGAGAAAAGACAAAAGCAGAAGATTATCAAATAAAGAAATGTGTTTTTTTGACAAAATAAATAAATTCAATTAATTTTTATTTAATTAATCAAAGTAGACAAATCAGCAACACAACATCTGTTGTTAGCCAATTATTTTTATAAAGTTTATTAAGAACTTAATTCTTTATTTGACGCTTAAATTTATTATTAATTATATATTTAAGTTTCTTACTAATAAACCGACGAAAAACTGTTGCAATGAGAGTGATTCCAAAGCCAACATATGTTATAATAATCAGCAAAGATGCTGCATCATACAATTCTTCATAACAATACGTACTTGTATTTGTTGGATCTGTAGATTGATACTGACTCCTTTTACGAAACACCCAAATATTTCCGGCAATAAACCATGAAGAAAACCATGCGGCAAAAAGAGACTGAAATGCGACATTTATAAGCATAAGTCGACGTGCTAGACTTTTTCTATTCATCTTTTTATGAATTAATCTAGCGTCAACAATTGCAAGAATCGTCAAGAAGATCCATGCAAATTTTGTAGCGCCATGAACAACAAGAAATATATTAATCGCAGGTTCGGCTGGACATTGATTTGAATAACTTATACCACAATAAAGCTCCGAGATTGAGAAACCACAGGCAGTTATTATTTGAACAATTACCATCTTTGATGTATAGTATTTCATTGTTTTGTCGAGACGTTCTTCATATTTTAAACGAATCCACAGATTAACTGGATTTTCATTAGTTATATTTGAAGTATCGTGCGTTGAAACCATTGCAGCCATTTTAATTATGAATGTATTTGATTAAAGAACTTAGAAATATGTATGTGACAAATGGAAATGATAGAAAAAGAAAAATAGATATTCTCTCTTTTTATTGTGGATAATCTACATAACTCGTTCTTCTTATTTTTCATGTGGAGACAACGTTAAAATTATCAAAAAACTCTTTGCTTTTTTTTTGCTAAAAAAGATTTAGTAATATATTTACTAATAGTTTAAAGATAGTTCAAATAGATTTTTCAGTCTACAAGGAAAAATGAAGTATATATTTTGTAACTTAATTTAGAATGAGATTATCTCAACATGAAACATCATACGTTACTATTTAAAGGGTGTAGGTTAGGGTTTGACTGAGGATAGGTGCCATTGTGGATAAGAAAGAAATCTTCACACCCACTCATTGACACCGACACTCACACTCTCAAGATACTAGTTCGAATCAATGCGAATATTAATAAAATTGGAAGTTGAAAAGAGTGTATGTAAAGAAATATTTTCAGTTCTGATGTCTGATCTATTCATTTCCATAGAGCTTTATTTCATTTTTTTGTATTTTTTCTACATTATCAGTACTTTGCTGAGCTAAAACGTTTCCGTCTATCTATAAAAATCCTGGCTACGCCACTAGTAAGCATTGAAATTAGCACCCACATCTACACTTTTCGACGAAATTGATTACTTGTATGAAACTGGTTTCGCTATAGACAGCATCGCGAAATAGGGTGTATTTTCTTAACTGAATGCATGAAGAAAGAAAAATATTAGTATTGTGTTTATTTTATATTTGCATATTTATTCATTAAGTAAGTACATCTGGTATTATTCTACCAAAAATAAGTCGAAAGAAAAGATCTCTATTAGGTAAGGCAGCTGCTTCAACCGGAGATCGACATAATGGACATGTATTTCTTTCTCGTAAGACCTTTAACATACAATTGAAATGAAAGACATGACGACCTGGACAAGGCCATTCAGCATAAGATTCATTCAACTGAAAATTTTCAAGGCAAATAGTACAAGTTGTATCAAGTAGAGCATCATCGACTAATAATCGATTACTTAAACGAAATTGTGCAATAAAACGAGGTGATGCTGATGTAACTTGATATAATATTCGATTTATATCGTTACCATAATGACGTGATTGATACCGAGCTTCCCTATCAGTTAAAAGTCCAAGCATATGTATGTGCTGTTGTTGTTGATAACTAAAACATGTATGAAAATACAAAATCTATTTTTCATTAAAAAATTTATAAAAATTTCGACATACTTCTGTTGATATTGATTACTTAGAATCATCAATCGTTCATGTAACCATTGCGTTGGATTGAAATGATTGTGAAATCGTTGTTTTGTAAAATCAATATAAGGTTGACGATAATTTATTAGTATAATACAATCAGATTCAATATAACGAATATTATCAATAGATATAATAATCAACGGAGGATTTTCATAAAATTGTTGAAGAATTACTTGACTCGTTTCCTGTAAATCTACTTCAAAGATAACTACATAATTATTCTGTAAAATAAATAATCGATTATGGTAATTATTTATATTAGGTGTATTTGATAATAATCGGTCCAATCCTTCCAAAGAATTTATATTTGATTGTATTAATTGTTCTTGAATATGATCATGTACTATTGGAAATGATGTATGAATTAATTGGTTGATATTACAACTAATATGTTGAATAGTTTTATAAAGAAAATAAATAAATAAACTAACGAAAATATACGATATACAAGGGATGTAAGAACTTGAAGTATCAAATACTCGAACATTGTCATTAAATTGACGATAATTAAATGAATTACTTAGACAAACATATTCATTTCTAGGTTGATAAAGATATCCAATTAAAATACCACATTTTGAGATCACATTCTTGTTGAAAAATATTGCTTTTTCATTATACATTTCTTTAATTTTTTCAACATATAAAGATTTTTCAAACCATTTCATATATACTGTTGGAGAAATAGTTAATTCTCTGACAATACATCGTAATGTTTTAATACTAAATGATTGAAAATCATATGGATAAACTTTTCCTAAATCAGATTGTTCATATGCATTAAACTTAATATATAATTGTGTTGATGATGTATCAATAGATGGTTTTATAACATGATGGAATTTGTATAATAATTGCCCATGTGAATAATGACCATAGAATACTCGTAATGAATTTTTGTTATTTTCATCAATTTTATTTTCACCTAATTCAAGTTGAATATAATCAGGTTGAAATCGAAACCAATTAAATGAGAATAATGATTTATAACCAAATAAATTATAATTTGTTTCTAAGTGATCATGAAATTGTTTTAAATTCATTG